CTGTTTGTTTAGGGTTGAGGGTTTAGGGAGGGGTTCATTGAACTGTAGATGGCTCCTTTCCAAAAAAGTCTTTACGTACGTGAGGTGTGAAGGCCAATCCAGGGTCTACAGGAGGGTCCTCAAAATCGATTTGCTGGAGCACGCTTCTTGTGGGTGCTCCAGAGGCAACATCCCGACCAACAAAATCAGGGCACCAGACTCAAGACACTTCATTCCAGAACCTTGTGACCGACATGAGAAACTACCAGGATTCCGAAACCAATCCCTCGGTATTCTCTTCGGGCACAGCCCTGTTTGTGGCTTACTGTTACCCCCCACAAGGAATCCATGCCTCCGAGGACCTAGAGCCGGACTTCGGCTACAAGCCAATATCCTGAAGTCCTCAAGCCACCCCGTGGGGCAGAATTCGTGAGTAGGGGGAAACTTAATGGGGACCCCTACCCTATAATGGGCTATATAATGGGTATATAATAGCTATATTAAGGGTAAATACCAAGCCGGACGCCTGAACTGTGACCTTCGGGCTCCCGGCCTGAAACTGAGCGGAAAGACACCTCGTGAGTTGAGGCCGCCCACGATGCCGCTCGAGGACCACGTCGGTGACCTCCAGCCCACCGCGGCACGGTTTTGCCTGCATTCCCAAGTGTATGTCTAACTTGAGCTACTACAACTTCCATCCAGACTTGATGTACCAGCTCTCACACAGAGGTTTGCAATAACACGCTATGAGCTCAAGGTGGGCTTGGGTTGAGGACCCGTCAGCGTCGCCAGCCTCCCACACCCCTGTAGCTGAGAGGAGCTGTCAATAAGTACCAAGTACTGGTACGTCTAGCATTCCTTTCCATTCCAATCCAACCTAGATGTACAGTTGCGCATGTGTCATATGCCCGAAACGACAAATTAAACCCGAAACCCAGCCCGAAACGGACAAGCCGCTGAAGATGTGACATTCGTGGCACTCCTTGGTCACTTCGCTCAAGCTTTTCGCTGTAGCGAACTCAGGAGAGTCTGCTAGGCGGTCCGGTAGCCGACAGCCCAAGAGCGATGATCAACCCCTCGGTGCTAATGACTGGCCTTGCAGCCCTTGCTTTGGGGCAGCGAGGAGCACAAGCCACATGCATCGATTGCGATCCGAGCGAGGAGAACGTTCTGTTGCAGCGCAGCCATGCCTCGGAGGATGGTGCTGCATTGGGGGCTGCAGAATGGAGCTGGCAAGAGCATGGCTATCCAAAATGGAACTGCGAAGCGGATGTCCGCGCCGCTCAGCAGGACTGGAAGGATGCCATCCTCGACATCTCTGCAGCGTACCGTGAGAATAGTACCAGCTCAGATTTTGTCACGATCGCGACGGAAGCCATCCAAACCCTCTACGGCTATGACATTGGACCGGTTACTTTCAAGCCGACTTTGGCCGTAGATCAGCCCTTTCGCCCCACTGCCCAAGGTGCGTTGTCATACTTCGTGGGCAACGACGCCACCAACGACTATGCCGGCGGCGGCGGCATCCCGGAAGACTCAGGCTTTGCCATTGCTGCCGGCGATACTTGGTCAAAGGTCTTATTTTTCAACGACCAGATCAGTTGTGTGGGGGATGTTGCGCTTGCTCAGGGGTATTACTACTTCACCAACGCAACATCTAAACAAGATGTCGGGGTTGAGTACACCTTTGTGTACAAGAAGATTGAGGAAGGCCAGTTGAAGATCATTGTCCACCATTCCTCGCTGCCGGCTCCGGTTTCGGTTCCAGCACCGGCTCCCGCCACTCTGACGCAGAAAGGTGAGAACCTGAACTGGAAGAAGGGGGGCAAGGCTTCTTGGCCTATGAAACCTGTTTGGTGGCATGGGCCTGGTCACAGCTACGGTGCACCAAGCTGTGAAGAGCGTGTTGCGGCAACACAAGAGGCATGGAAGTATGCGATCCTGAACATCTCGGAAGCGTACCGACAGAATGCTCTGTACCCAAACTATGTCCAGCTCGCAGCGGATACGATCGACAAGCTCTACAACTACGACAACGAAAAGGTGTTGTTCAAGCCGACCCTGGCGGCCCAGGATCCCTTCCGCGACGACTTCATAGGTGCATTGTCATACTTCTGCGGCTACGAGGCCACGAAGGAGCAAGGGGGCTTCCCGGAAGATACCGGCTTTGCCATCAAGGGCGGTGAGACCTGGTCTAATGTCACCTTTGAGAACAATCTGACCAATTGTGTGGGGGACATTCCGTTGGCCCAGGGCTACTACTACTTCACTGCATACGACAGTGGGAACATAACCGGGGTCGAGTACAGCTTTGTTTACAAGCAGATGAAGACGGGTGAGCTGAAGATCATTGCCCATCACTCCTCATTGCCGGCAGACCAGGTGTAATCTTTGCATGTTTTTGTCCAACACCGCTCCTTCGGCGAGCGGTGGCCACTGGCGAGAAGGCCATGCCGTCTTGTCTGCGTGAGACATTCCGGGATAACATATTACCAGGTGGCATCTGCCAATGGCAGTGCTTCTGACCATTGTGCCGGAAGATTTAAATGCAATTTTGTGAAGCAGTCCGATGGTTTGTTTGGTGGGCGCGCTCCACTCTGCAGCATCTGGAAGTGGGGATTCTGTAGCACATCCACATAGTCGGCACGTCCTCTGCTCTTGTCCACGCGGCGATCATGCAAGCTAGTTATCCAAATCCCCGATTCCATCAAAAGTGGGTCGCCCGCCTCAACCTGCGGCACAACCACAATCTTTCCGCACTGGGTTTTGCCAGCTGGGTGCTTGTACCAGCTGCGGATTGATAATGATCTGTCAAAGGCCAAATGGCAGCTACAGTTTTTCTACAGCTGCTGTGCACCAAAGTGCACCAACGAGGGGAGCACTGCTCTTAGAAGGCTAAAATTATCGGCGAAAGATCAGGCTCGTGGGAACGCAGGTTTGACGGCATGTTGATCATCTCTTCAAGTCCGTGAAGCCTTTGCATCATGCAAACTGCAGAAGTGAACGTGCCTGCACCTGTCCTTGAGGTCATCCCAATTTTCAGGCTTGTAGCGAACTCAGGAGAGTCTGCTAGGGGGTCCGGTAGCCGACAGCCCAAGAGCGATGATCAACCCCTCGGTGCTATTGACTGGCCTTGCAGCCCTTGCTTTGGGGCAGCGAGGAGCACAAGCCACATGCATCGATTGCGATCCGAGCGAGGAGAACGTTCTGTTGCAGCGCAGCCTTGCCTCGGAGGATGGTGCTGCATTGGGGGCTGCAGAGTGGAGCTGGCAAGAGCATGGCTATCCAAAATGGAACTGCGAAGCGGATGTCCGCGCCGCTCAGCAGGACTGGAAGGATGCCATCCTCGACATCTCTGCAGCGTACCGTGAGAATAGTACCAGCTCAGATTTTGTCACGATCGCGACGGAAGCCATCCAAACCCTCTACGGCTATGACATTGGACCGGTTACTTTCAAGCCGACTTTGGCCGTAGATCAGCCCTTTCGCCCCACTGCCCAAGGTGCATTGTCATACTTCGTGGGCAACGACGCCACCAACGACTATGCCGGCGGCGGCGGCATCCCGGAAGACTCAGGCTTTGCCATTGCTGCCGGCGATACTTGGTCAAAGGTCTTATTTTTCAACGACCAGATCAGTTGTGTGGGGGATGTTGCGCTTGCTCAGGGGTATTACTACTTCACCAACGCAACATCTAAACAAGATGTCGGGGTTGAGTACACCTTTGTGTACAAGAAGATTGAGGAAGGCCAGTTGAAGATCATTGTCCACCATTCCTCGCTGCCGGCTCCGGTTTCGGTTCCAGCACCGGCTCCCGCCACTCTGACGCAGAAAGGTGAGAACCTGAACTGGAAGAAGGGGGGCAAGGCTTCTTGGCCTATGAAACCTGTTTGGTGGCATGGGCCTGGTCACAGCTACGGTGCACCAAGCTGTGAAGAGCGTGTTGCGGCAACTCAAGAGGCATGGAAGTATGCGATCCTGAACATCTCGGAAGCGTACCGACAGAATGCTCTGTACCCAAACTATGTCCAGCTCGCAGCGGATACGATCGACAAGCTCTACAACTACGACAACGAAAAGGTGTTGTTCAAGCCGACCCTGGCGGCCCAGGATCCCTTCCGCGACGACTTCATAGGTGCATTGTCATACTTCTGCGGCTACGAGGCCACGAAGGAGCAAGGGGGCTTCCCGGAAGATACCGGCTTTGCCATCAAGGGCGGTGAGACCTGGTCTAATGTCACCTTTGAGAACAATCTGACCAATTGTGTGGGGGACATTGCGTTGGCCCAGGGCTACTACTACTTCACTGCATACGACAGTGGGAACATAACCGGGGTCGAGTACAGCTTTGTTTACAAGCAGATGAAGACGGGTGAGCTGAAGATCATTGCCCATCACTCCTCATTGCCGGCAGACCAGGTGTAATCTTTGCATGTTTTTGTCCAACACCGCTCCTTCGGCGAGCGGTGGCCACTGGCGAGAAGGCCATGCCGTCTTGTCTGCGTGAGACATTCCGGAATAACATATTATCAGATGGCATCTGCCAATGGCAGTGCTTCTGACCATTGTGCCGGAAGATTTAAATGCAATTTTGTGAAGCAGTCCGATGGTTTGTTTGGTGGGCGCGCTCCACTCTGCAGCATCTGGAAGTGGGGATTCTGTAGCACATCCACATAGTCGGCACGTCCTCTGCTCTTGTCCACGCGGCGATCATGCAAGCTAGTTATCCAAATCCCCGATTCCATCAAAAGTGGGTCGCCCGCCTCAACCTGCGGCACAACCACAATCTTTCCGCACTGGGTTTTGCCAGCTGGGTGCTTGTACCAGCTGCGGACTGATAATGATCTGTCAAAGGCCAAATGGCAGCTACAGTTTTTCTACAGCTGCTGTGCACCAAAGTGCACCAACGAGGGGAGCACTGCTCTTAGAAGGCTAGAATTATCGGCGAAAGATCAGGCTCGTGGGAACGCAGGTTTGACGGCACGCTGATCATCTCTTCAAGTCCGTGAAGCCTTTGCATCATGCAAACTGCAGCAGTGAACGTGCCTGCACCTGTCCTTGAGGTCATCCCAATTTTAAGCTTGCATGTAAAGGGGTCAACAACATACATCCTGAACCATGGTAAGCAGATCCCGTCGGCATTCTGCGACATTTGTCAATGCCAGGATCGGTCTTGACCTGTCTGCCGGGCACTCGTTTGTCTCAGAGTTTCGAGTACTAGGGTTTTAAGGCATTGGGGTATCGGGTTTTATAGAGGTTTAAAGGGTGTTCTTGCTCCTACCCTTTTCCCGAGTGGCCAGGAGCTAGGCGCGTAGGGCTGGTAAAACCCTAAAGTTTCTAGATTCCAGATCCCTTAAACATTGAAACCGTGCACAAAAATCCTTATAAAGCCTGAAAGCGCTTACAATCCCACAACCCCTAAGAACCTCAAACCCGCAACATGTATGAAAGCACCGCTATCCCTGTAGAGACCCAAAGCCCGCACACCCTAAACCCCCTTGCGTGCATCTTGCCCGGATCGTCGGCAGTTACTGCTAGCACAAACACCCAAACCCCTATGCCCCAAACGATTAAGGCCATTAAGGCTGTTAAACTAGTATTATTAGCCGGTAGTGTGTTGTTTATTTGCTGTATTGTTATTGTGCTTTTTGTACGCACTACAATTATCAATCATTAGTGCCAACTATTGCTGTTGGTCTTGTTGCTGTTACTGCTACCGTTATTGTTATTGCTATTATCACAATTTTCCCCCCAAACCTATGAAAGTCGTGTGAACTTCGAGGCCGCGGAGGAGCCGAAGGACGAGAAAGTCGCCGAGCTCCTGGCGAGATCCGGCGGCGGTGCTCAGGAATTAGGCTTCATGAAGGGTTTGTAGCGCCATACAAGTTCAGGCTTTGATAGAAAATGTTTCATGAGATGTTGATAAGGTGTATATGTGTATGTATATGTATGCATGCACATATAGACTTCCTGGAATTGTGTGCCTTCTAGGGTGTAGGCGCATAGGGTGCCGTGCAATTTTCCATGCGCAGCAGTACTAAGAAGCCTTGGCTTGAGCTCGATTTCGAGGAACAAACATCGTGATTTTGCTACACGGAGGCCATCTGATGGTTCCAAGATGTTTGCTATCATGATTTTGCAGTGATAATCACCATCATCTCCGAAATGTCGAAAGGCAAAAGAATTATGTTGTGCAAGGAGGAGAAAGAGCTCACCAGTGGTTTGGGCGTTCTCGCACAAGGCATGATCAATTGTGACAATGCGTCTTGTACCAGAAATGTCAAACATCATTCTGCAGTCTGGAGTATGTTGTATAAAGTGTGAATACCAGATTCTTCGGCACATTCTCCCCTCCCCCGCCCCTCCAAGTACATCACCCATTAGTGGCACTCGGGCCCCCAAAGTGCTAACTCTATATGACTTCGTGCGGTTTGAGAAGGTCTGACACAATACAGAGCTCCGCGGAAACGGTTTAGGGAGGTTTGGAGGCTAAGGCGAACTATGGTGAAAGCCATTGTGAGACACACAAGGCGTCACTGGAGACAGTGCTGACCTCAGTGACGAGGGCCTCCAGATGGTCTTGGCTCTGCAAAGCGAGGCAGGATTGCCTCGGGTTTATAAACGGTCTAGAACGGCTTCCAAAGGGTCCATACTGGTATCATCAAACTTGAGATTAGTGGTTCTAGTGAGGGCTGAAGCAAGGATTCAGGGTTCATAGCCTGGGTTTTTGTAGGTTCAGGGATCTGGGGTCAGGTGTCTATGGAGCAGGCGGTTGGCAGAAGGAGTTTATGTGGTCTGGCTCAACGAAGGCTTCGGGGGGTTCCTTTAGAACCCTGAGCCCCAAACCCGAACGGCCGACTCTCTTTCCTCAGCGAGGGTTCGTCGGCAGAGGGACAGCTGATGATGAGGAACAAGGAGCTCGAAATGCAAGCGAAGGTCGAACACTACAGAGCGATAGCGATGGCTACCGTAATTGTAGTAGCGACAACAATACTTTTAGAAATGTCATCGCCGCGATTATTTTCATCATCACCATCAGCAACAACATGACCACACACATGATGTTCTCAACTCTTCGTCATCATCACCACCATCATCACCACAGTAACGACGACAATGACAACTGTACTAGTATTTAGCAGAAGTAGCAATGATGACAATGACGACCAGCAAGCTGTAAGAAGCACTGATAACTAACAACAATACGTAGTACTTTTAGCAGCAGTCACTACAGTTCTCATATCCTTACAATACAAAACAGTAGCAACAACAAAAATGATAGTAATAATTACTAGTTTACTCATGAGAATCGAAGACGAACAAAGCTATCAGTATTGACAAGACTGATAGTAGTAATAACAATAACAGCAGCAATAGTCACAAGAAAGGAGCATAATCAAAGCAACATTACCATTGTTACTCATAATAGTGATGCTGACAAGGTAGTGATGCTGATAGAAATAGTACCAATAACACGATCAACAACAAATCGATCGCTTTTAACATACAACAATCGTATTCAGAGTAGCAATGCTCGTTTTTGGAGCTGAAGCCAGGTGGAGCTGAGGAGCTTCCTGCTGCGGATACTGGGCAAAGACTGGCGGCAGGCGGGGACAGGGCTCTGGGTTCGGGTTTATATGGGTAGTTCTCAAAAGTATGGTCCGTCCGTTTTTGGGTCCCTACTATAATGCGGCACCCAATATGTCGGGTACCCAAAAAGGGGCCCTAATTTTGATAACTATTCGTATAGGTTTTCATCAGGAATCGGGGTTCTTGGATTTAGGGTTGTTAAGAGTCTAGGTTCTAATTAGGGTTCGGGCTTCTTGGATTCAGGGTTGTTAAGGGTTGTCTAGGGTTAGGGGATGAGGTTCGAGGAGGAGTGCATGAACAGTTAAAGACAGGCTGTGCTGGGCTGATCCAATTCAAGAAGACCCAAAAAACGACCAAGATCCACAAGCCCAGCCGGACTCACTGGAAAAAGCAATTGCCAGTCGAAAGTCGACCAATTGACCAGATGAGGTCAAGACAGACGACGCAAGCCAGCAAGAACTTGCCCGGGACTCGGCAGATCTTTTGGCTTTTTTGACGGTGTGTGGGTTTCTGTTCCTAGCAGTGCGGACAGAGCGTGAACCTAAGAGCATCCAAAAGCCCCACCCGCGGCTTTAACAGACTTGCCAACCCTGCGGGAAGCATGCGAGTATTGCGAGATTCACTGATCCGGTCTTGGCTCAGGTCTCTTTTGCAAAGGGCGTCAGCGGAGGCATGGTGGGGGAAGCTTTGGCAAGTTCTAGGCCCACGGTGTCCGCATTGGATGCAGCTGCAATGGAGCCTAAAGAATACCCGAACCCATCTTTTTCCGTACCTACGTGTTGGGGGATGCTGGGGAAGCCTCGCGAGCTGTTTGGAGGGCGGTGTTGGCCCTGAGTGCCGAGACTGGGGAAGGCTTCCAGCACGCGGCTGCAGCCATTTGGACTCAAGCTGTCTCTCCGCGGACGTTTACACACACGTTCTTCTGTAGAGCGTAGAGTAGAGCCACAATGGACGCGGCCAATGACGTCTCCAACACTGCAGTGGACAAGGCATCGAAGGACTTCTCCAAAGATCTTCTTGCGTTACAGAAGACCAACCAGAGGCTGATGGGTGGCATGATTTGCATGGGTCTATTGGCCTTGGTGACGTGTGGTGTTTCAATTGCTGTGGCAGTGCTGGTGCAGGATTTCACGGACTCTCAGGAAGGGAGTGCCAGCATGGCCATCTCAGCAAACGACGTGCTTTTGGTGCAAGATGCCTGGGCCGACGCTGTCCTGAGCATCTCAAACACCTACCTTGGTGGTGGTGACTTCGTGGCAGTGGCAGGAGCAGCAGCAGCCGAACTCTACGGCTATGGCCACTCCGACGTGCTCTTCAAACCAACGTTGGCATCCGTGAACCAGTTCCGGCCGACTGCGACTGGTGCCTTGTCGTACTTTGTGGGGAGCTCAAACGTTGCGAATGGTTATGCGGAGGATGGCGGCTTTGCCATCAATGGTGGCAAGGGTTGGTCTGCAGTGGTCTTTGAGAACCACCAGATCGAGATCAGTGGCAACGTTGCAGCTGCCATGGGTAATTACTACTTCACCAGTGCCGACGATGGCAAAGTCTCCAAGGTTGAGTACAGCTTCGGCTACAAGAGGAGCGAGGGCGGTAAGTTGCGGATCTTCCTCCACCATTCTTCCAAGCCCTACGAAATGCCCATCTCTCGGGCAGAGGTGCTTGCTGTGCAGGATGCCTGGGCCAATGCTGTCGTGAACATATCAAACACCTACCTTGCTGGTGGCGACTTCGTGGCAGTGGCAGGAACAGCAGCAGCCGAACTTTACGGCTATGGCCACTCCAACGTGCTCTTCAAACCAACGTTGGCATCCGTGAACCAGTTCCGGCCGACTGCGACTGGTGCCTTGTCGTACTTTGTGGGGAGCTCAAACGTTGCGAATGGTTATGCGGAGGATGGCGGCTTTGCCATCAATGGTGGCAAGGGTTGGTCCGCTGCTGTCTTTGAGAACCACCAGATCGAGATCAGTGGCAACGTTGCAGCTGCCATGGGTAATTACTACTTCACCAGTGCCGACGATGGCAAAGTCTCCAAGGTTGAGTACAGCTTCGGCTACAAGAGGAGCGAGGATGGTAAGTTGCGGATCTTCCTCCACCATTCTTCCAAGCCCTACGAAATGCCCATCTCTCGGGCAGAGGTGCTGGCTGTGCAGGATGCCTGGGCCAATGCTGTCGTGAACATCTCAAACACCTACCTTGCTGGTGGCGACTTCGTGGCAGTGGCAGGAGCAGCAGCAGCCGAACTCTACGGCTATGGCCACTCCAACGTGCTCTTCAAACCAACGTTGGCATCCGTGAACCAGTTCCGGCCGACTGCGACTGGTGCCTTGTCGTACTTTGTGGGGAGCTCAAACGTTGCGAATGGTTATGCGGAGGATGGCGGCTTTGCCATCAATGGTGGCAAGGGTTGGTCTGCAGTGGTCTTTGAGAACCACCAGATCGAGATCAGTGGCAACGTTGCAGCTGCCATGGGTAATTACTACTTCACCAGTGCCGACGATGGCAATGTGTCCAAGGTTGAGTACAGCTTCAATTACAAGCGGACCGAGGATGGGAAGTTGCGGATCTTTCTTCACCATTCTTCCAAGCCCTACAGTCCTTGACCTTGTTATAATCTTATGCTCGATTTTCCGTATGTAGGCAGTCAGTGCTGTGAGTAGATAGCAGTCATTGTTTCGGGCACCCCGCTCATTCATCTCAACGCATGCATCCGCATCGAGGTCAAACTGTTGACGTTGTGTGTTTTAGTGTACACGCACCTCCAGATTTTGTTCGGAGTGTCCGACGCAAAGGATCCAGCATTGCAAGTTTTGCATGCCGCCTGTCAAGCAGAGCGGACCGTATGCTTTTAACTGTTAGCATAGCACGCATTTTGGAACACGTGTTTGCCAACATTGCCTTTGCATTGAATGCATCGGCCGTTTGGCTACGAGGGGTTTACTCAAGTTGACCAATTTTGATAATTACGGCCGGCCAGTTTTTTTCGCTGAGCTGGGCCTTTCCATTTGCCGTTTCCTGTTGCCGGAAAAAGCTCGCTCCAGTGCGGTTCATATTATCGTAGTGGTTGAGCACCGTTTCCGATCAGAACATGTCCATAGGCATGAGCGTGAAACCCAGTCTACTGAAGGCCCAACAAAAAAAACAACCATCATCATCAAGCTGCCATGCCATTCTGCTATTCAGGTTGATCCCAGAGCCCAACGGGCTCACAACAGTCTCACAACAAAACACAGGTGCTTTAAACCCCAAAGAATCCCGATTTCAAGCAGCCGGACGTGGAGCCCTCTGGAGTCCGACTCTGGAGCAACCGTTCGACGCCTTTCTCCCGACTCACGTCCACATCTTGCTTGAATCGCATAGCCTCGTGTTTGCTGCAGGAGCTTCCGCTGCGTCCTTCAGCAGCCTACGAGAACAGCTGAGGCGCGCGGCTGGTGTGGCACGGTGTCTGCTGCAAGTGAATTCTGCTCGCAGCAACAGACGGCACGATTTTGTCTGCAGCTGCTAGCTCCATGCCTCCCTTCCTTTTCCGTGTGTTCGGGGCTACATAGGCTGGGGACAGGCCCGGGGGCTCGCGGACCCATGGCTCGGCATGATCCCGGAAGTTCCCTCCCTGTGGACGGAGGCCCTGGATGTGCTCCGGTGCATGGGAGAGGGCCGGCTGCTGCCGAATGCCCCCCGATGCTGTGCCGTGCAGGCTCGCTGCGACCGAGCGGGGCGCTGGAAGGAGTCCGCTTTGTTCTTGGAGCGCATGGCCGTGGCGAGCATCGAGCTGGGTGCTATTGCCTATGGGACGGCTGTCAATGGCTGCCGGCGGGCTCAGGGCCTTTGGCCCAGGGCCTTGGCTCTGCTAAGGGAGCTGGGGGTCTTAGGCTGCGAGGTCAGCGATATCGCGATAAACACAGGCCTAAATTCTTGCAGTTACGGCTACGAATGGGAGCAGGCCTTGCATCTTCTGGGCCTCCTGAAAGCCAGCGATCCCAAGCAGTCGACCACTGCAGCGAACACCGCGGCGAAGGCCTGCGAAAGCCAACTGCGCTGGGATTTAGTTCTCGAGCTCCTGACTCCTTTGATGGCTGGGTGTAGAGTGGATGTTTTCAGCTGCTCCACTTCCGTGAGCGCCTGTGGGCGCGGAAGCCGCTGGGAGGCGGCGCTCCTGCTGTGGCAGGGCTATGACAGGCTTGGGGTGCCTTTGAATGCCGTGGCCTATGGAGCCCTCTGCAGTGCTTTGAACCTGGGAAGACCAGAACTTTGTGGAGGCCTTTTGGAGGAGATGCGAAGGAAGCAGCTGCAGCCAAGCCTTATCATTTGCAACGTGGCCCTCTCCAGCTTCCAGGAGCTTGACCTTTGGCCTGCCTCTTTGCAGCTTCTCCAGGAGATGGATGCATCCGGGCCCGCGCCCAACATCGTGAGCCTTCGGACCGCAGCTGCTGCACTAGTGGAGCAGCGGGTCAGGAGGCTCGGCATAGATGCCCGGCCGCTGCTGGGACGGCTGGGCTTGGCGGTGCTTCGGCTCCTGCAGCAAGAAACCTGGACACCACCGCCGGACCGCCCAAGATTTTCCGGCTTTGTGCCCTTGACCTCCAGTTTGGAGGCCATGGAAGTTATTTTAGAGCACGGCGCGGATGGCGTCCTCGCAGTCGCAGTGGGCCGTGCCCTTCACCGTGCTTTGGCACCCGGCCGCAAGGCTCTGTTCCGCCTTGTTGAAGCCGCCGCTTTCGAAGACGTCGATTCCTTGGAGTCTTTGTTTGGTTTGGGGGTGGACGGGACGCAGGCTGTGCTGCGGGCTTTGGGCGTGGCATCTGCTAGCTGGGCGCCCTTGGCTCGTTTGCGCAGCCGCCGTGCCCAACTTGGGCTCCCAGCTGACCGACGGCCGACTGCCCAGACGACGCTGGCATGGAGGGCTCTTTGCCTCAAAAGAGGCTCCAATGCACAGTTCAGTCGCGCCGGGACTGCTGTGCGATATGGCCCGTCTGCGGGTGCAGCATCTGCACTGTTGAAGCCCATCCGCGTAGAGCATGACCGTGCGTTGCATCCCGAGCGCCGCGCACTTGCCTCTATTATGGCGGATCTGATCGCCGGGGCCATGGGGGGCCGCCTTGCAAAGCTCAAGGCGGCTGTAAAGGTCCCTAGCCCGTAGAAGCGATGTCCTGCGAGGCCAAAGTAGACTCAGCTATGTCCTGAAAGTTTTCCGGTATGATTCATGCTGATTCATGCTTCCATGTCATACAAAGGCGGGTTCCCCTCCAGCCCTCAGCTCCTGTATCCTCCGCTCTCAAGCGTTCACCTCTAAGTGGGTCCCAGGGCATGGGATGTTGATTCGGTTTCGAGGTTAGTAGCTGATCCGCGGCTGGGGTAGACGAGCCCACGAACTGAACGAACCCAGCGTCGGGGTTCAGAGGGATTCTTCAGGCGCTGGAGGCTCGCTGCTTGGGCAGGAGGCTGTTATTAGGCAGTCTTATACAGGGTACTGAATCTGAGCAAAGCAGATGCCACATGCAACTCTAACCTCAAATGATGCGGCCTCCACGCGGTACTCTGAGGACCTCACATCGCCAAATCGAGAGCGGTTAGTCCCGCTCCCGAATTCCCTCTAAACCTCCCTCAACGCCCGAAGATCCACACCAAGCAGACCCAAACTTCCATTCGTTTTTGTACGGCTGAAGCGTTCGTCTACTTAGGATTGCCCTTTCCAGGGTTTAGTTTAGGGTTTGCGAATTGCACGGTTTCAATGCTTGCTGTCTGTATATTGTCAACGGTAACAGAGCCCCCAAACCGTTCGCTAATTATTGAGGCTCTTATGTCAGACCCCAAGAGGAGCTTTGTTTCAAAACCATCTCAAAATCCAACCCTAGCTAGGCGTGACGCGCTGAATCCTAAACCTCAAGCCCAACTCTCGCTAAGTACGAAGCTCCTGTGTTGCCCCGATTGCTGGGAGGAGCTTCCCGTGGGTAGAGCTGAAGCTGGGCCTCGTGGCTTCATTAACTGGTCTCTGTCTCTCTCTCTCTCTCTCTCCCTCCCTCTCTCTCCCTCTCGTGAGAGAGAGCGAGATACAGAGAGATAGATAGATAGAAAGGTCGATACATAGGTACATAGATCGATAGATGCATTTTGGGTTAGGGTTCAGGGGTCGAAGTAGAAGTACAATAAGAGTTTTTGTTTGGGGTTTCGGCTTGTTTAAGCAATGTTGAGGGTTCTGGTTCTTTGGAGTTCAAGATTTCGGTCCAAGGAGGGGGTTAGGGTTGGTAGCGCTTCACAGGGTATGAGGGTTTGCCCTGGGACTCATGCCTAGAATGTGAGAGTCTAGCAGGAAAGAGGTTTCCACAACCATGTTGAGACACCCCGGCTTCAGCCTGCACTGGGCCCCTCAGCCCCGAATCCTCCCCAAACTCCGAGACTTTGTCCAGGTCCGGGGGAGGACCGACTGAAGGTGGCTGTCGCCATGGAGAACGAGGACACCGCCTGTTTGTTTTTTTTATGGGTGGGGGGTGAGGGAGCTGGGGCTGATTTTTGACAGTTCCGGCGCTTGGTGTTGCGAGATCTTTGGCTTTGCGTGGGGATGTAGGGTTCTGATCCTTTACATTGCTTTACATGCTTAGCTTTCTTCGAGGTTTGGATTTTAGATGCCACAAACCCGAAAACTGGGCCTCCTAACCTCCAGGCACCCTCAGCAGCACACGCAAGTAGTTAAGAATTTTTGCAATATCCTAGCTTTAGTCTGTCAGACCCCGAAGCCCCAAATCCTCTAAGTTTCGTGAGGTTGCAGAAACCTTCGGTATTTAGGCAGAAGGCTCTCATGGAGGGGCCCTTCGAAAACACTATCATGGCTTGTACGGTCTATAGCTATAGAAGCCTGAGAATGTCGCGACAAATTCGCACTACTCGTACTTGTACTAAGCATTTATTCTGTAGGGCTCCCTATTGGCTATAGTCTACCCTAACACTTAATTCCAGCTACTAAGGCCGTATTTTGCTCATGCCGAATGCCGGTACATTGGCTCTGGAAACCCTATGCTCCAAGCTCCGACAGCCGATCTAGCATGTAGGGTTGCGGGGTTTAGGGAAGTTTGGCGGCCGGCTAAGACACCTTTTTGATGTGGTCGGTAAACACATCGTTTCATCCCAGACAGCAGTCTCAACGGCACCGAAGAGCTGGATGCGTAAACATCCTAAAGCCGACGAATCTTTCAACAGCCCGAATGACCCTAAAGCTCCCCTAACTTCGGAAACCGCGTCATCTCCCATGCCATCCCTGCGACGTTGCACGGCTGCGCCATGCGGCGTTCCCTGTTGCGGAAATTTAGCGATGGAGCTTGGGACTTTGTTCCAAGGCTTGGGACCGACACGGGAAGGGCATCAGATGGGTTTAAGAATTTTGGGTTTAAGAGTCTTGCTTTGTCCACACTTGGTCCTTAACTTGGCTCAGCCGTTGAAATGAGGACATTGGACAGATTTTGCTGCGTCGGGTACGTGTTGTGTTCTTTCATGTTAGGGAGTGTTTCTCTAGGTTTTCGAGCTAGATTCTAACACCCATAATCCTTAACCCTGCCTTAGCTTGATTCACAGAAATTCCGAAGTTCCCTTTAAAAGCCCAACATCCCAAAGCCTTGAGCGTCAATTGCAGGCCCACCTTCTCTTTCGATAACCATCCCCACTGGTTCGTGGGCCACATGTCCAAAGGAAAGGTGCCTCGGCAAGGCTCCATTTGGGATTGAGGTTCAATAGAGGACGCTTGCGAAAAGTATGATAGTATTTGGCTACAGGCAGACTCAGGCGATATTTTTCTCGTTGTATGGCAACAGTCCACTGTTTTGCCGCTGTTCGGGTTGGTTTGGTGTTGAATCCCGTTGAATCACGTTCGTGTGGCTGGACTGTTGTTCAATCCCTCTTCCTGCTTGTTCCGCTCAAATTTCTTCAGATCCCCATGTGCCGAAAGAGCGGCCGGGGAGCTTTGATTGAAGAGTTGCAGAAAGCGATTTAGGAAACAAGTTGCCGTTATGAAGGGCTTTGTGGACGCCAAACTATAAGAGGACTCGAGTAAGTTTGAAGGGAGATTTCAAAAGGGTATGAGGCAGGCAAAGCTGAAACAGTACAATCAACTCGCCAACACTCTGGCTCTTACATCAACAGCCCAATGCAATTCTAGAGACAAAAAATACCCCTGACCCATGGCTGTGAATGCGTATTCGTCTCAAGAATTCTGGTCATGATCCGCACATCAAGTCGTCACACTTCGACCGCTTGGGGTCCCAGGTAGTATTGTAAGAGCCGAAATACCTGCGTAGATGCTTGTGCATAATTTGTTGCTGTGTTGCGTCTAGGTGTATGCGAGGACGTATTGCTTCTGGCCCAAGTCTGAGAAACGCTCCACACAAAATCAACGAATATGAATAAGTTCAGGAAGATTTAAGCGCACACACTTACAGACTTACGTGTTTGATTACACAATCTTACACACACACACACACATATGTGTGCACTTTGCTATGTGTATCGAAATTCATGTGTGCATATATATATATATATATACACACCATACACATGGGTTGTCCGCTCTTGTCTAGATGCCCAGGTCAAGATTGAGCAGAAGATGAAGGACTTTGACATCTGAGCCCCAAGTACGTCCCGAGACTTATCCTTAACTGACCGCACCCTCACCCCAACACTCAAACTAGAACCCTTTGAAATTATACCGAACCTCATGAGCTCTCTATGCCTTTACCCCCGCCCAAATCCCCCCCCAAATATCCCCCGATCCCTTCTTGCAGGACGTGGATGTCATCCTCGAAGTTCGAGATGCCCGAGCACCCTTCACTTCTGCTCAGCTTCTGGGATTGAGGATGTATGTGGCTTAGGATTAGGGTTCGGGTTTAGGGCCTGTTCTGGTGACCTGGTGCTTTCAACTTGGGGCGGCTTCGGGTTTCGTAAAATTCGCAAGACAGCTTATACATTGCGGTAAACACCCTAAATCGGAAGCTTGGTTTGAACAGCAAACCGCCGAACCTAGGTTCGAGCTGACCACAAACCTTCCCAGCAACGTGCAGCGCCTGGTGGTATTGAACAAGGCGAGGGTCAGTGTGCTCTTGCATTGGGTCTTGCTTTGCAGAGGTTGTCGTCTTTGAGTTGGTGTTCGGATGCCTGCAATGTTACATAAAAGTCCGAGTTTCTTGGCTTGTAGTTAGAGTTAGATTCTGCCCCCTAGCACTAACCGGTGAAACCCCTGAAGCACAAAGTCTCTATCCTTGCACTCACTGAGGCCGACCTGGTGACGCCCAATGTGGGACTGGCTATGCGGGGCCTCATCGAGGAGGCAGTCAGACACTATTGAAGCCCTGTCCTAGCCTCAAACCCAAACTTCTAATCTCTGCCGGACCGTGGTAGTTTCTGCACCCCATCAGGAGTACGAGCGATTTTCCTCAAAGCTTAAGTGCTTCTGTTTGTAGCTCCCAGGCAGGGCAACCCTGTCTTCTGACGACGGCGGCGGAGAACAGGCGAGCCGAGATAGGTAAGCATATAGATATACCCACTCAAAGCTTTGTCAAATTCCTGTAGGCCGAAACCCAAAGAGCATGAGTCATTTGAGTTCGGGTTGGGTATCCTGGTAGTTTCTTCGAGAAAGCCTGTGTTCTTGCTACAGTGGATTTTGCCCGAACTGTGTGAACGATGTATATTATATGTATACATGCATACGTCCCTACATGCCTGCATACATACAGCGCTGACGCCCAGACTCTCACTGTTCGCAGATGCCTTCAGACCTAACGTCCTAAAGAAGCCTCTGCCTTTCCAGGAATCTGATCAAGATCAAGCAGTTTGCTCTAGACAACGTGCGATCGAAGCATCCGCGAACCCTCGGAGTGATGCTGATGGTGGTGGGCCTGCCGAATCTGGACTGAAGATGGTGAGGATTTGGGCTCTTGGGGCTTTGGGCTTTGCGCGTGTCAGTACGGAAATCGCATAAGAGTTGTCAGTTATTGCGGCGACGGTGGCAAACCTCGCCCTTTACCAATTGTTGAACGACTACGCATCGTAGACCTTTGTTGCACCCAAAACGAACCCCGGCCATGATCCCTTGAAGCCCATTCCTGAGCCCTACACACCTGACCCTCAAGCCCCAAACGCAAAGGAATGTCGGGAAGTCGACGATCATCAGCGGGTTGAAGAGGGTCGCCTTTGCAACCCTGCGCCATCAAGGGCCAAACAGCAAGCTGATGCAGGGAGTCCCGCGGCAGGATCGAGGATGCAGCTTCAATTCCTGTTCTTCGTTACTTGATCCACCTATCACATTCTGTTTAAGCTATCCGGAAATGAATCCCAGGATCCAGATCTGGCCTTTCACAGTGTAGGATGCTTATTGGAGCGTCAGATCTTTTCGAATTTTGGACCCGAGGGATCGGCTTCTTCGGGTGTAGGGAGAGGGTTTAGTTTACGCTTTGGGCTATGTCTATGTTTGTTGGTGAAGAGAGAACTTGAATGGAGTTTGAGCAAGCTTTCGGAGTAGTAGGGTTGCTCTTAGCCACGGCTCCGACAATCTCTGAAACCTGACATATTTCTCTAAACCCCCAAGCCCATAATTTCAATAGTTCACCCCCCTAAACCCTATCAAATACCAAGCCTCAGACTATTTTCTAAAGGTCAAGTGGACGGAGCCGAAGATGAGCAACGTCCCAGGCTTGACAAGGGATGTGCCTTGGGCATACTTGGGCACCGTAGGTTGGTGGGCTTTGAGCTTTCAGGTGGGTGGCCTTCTTTTCACACTTATAGTTTAGGGTTTATAGGGTTTAGGGTTATAACCCTGAGAGCCAAAAGGCACCTTCATGATTGGTTGTTTATGTCTCGGGTTCAGGCTAGGGGCTCGCAACATGTTCACTGTTCTATCTGAATGTATCTCAGTGGAAGCTCAGCAAGTCAGGTGTCCTTCTTTCAGCTCAGCAACCATCCACGGCTTTACTGCTGCTTGCTTGGTTAGCAGAACTTTTCGGTGTAAGCTCTGAGTCTGAGGAGCTCTCTGGGCGAAGCCCCCGAAGCTACCCAAAGGCCCCAAAGTAGTTCCTTTTTGGGGTTCATATATAGAATTCTATAAGGTAATCCCAAAACGGAACTACTTTGGGGCCTTAGGGTAGTTGCGGCATGTCTCCATCTTTTTGCCTTGTGGAAGACAGGCTACGACACCCCAGGGGTCTCCCTGCCACCCGGCTCTTCAGCAGGTCGTGCGCTTTTTTTTGGCTTCACTAACCTTTTTGCAGATAGCAGTTGCGGTAGGATGAACATGTCCATAAGATCATGCTGGTCAGTCGAAGTCTATGAACAAGTGTTTTTTTCGCCGACCTTGCAAGAACAGCAGAGGCTGAAGAGACGGAACGACCCAGAACGCAATGCCAAGCTCGGCGTCCTGAAGCTGGATTCTGTTTGTTTGGGAGGGAGTTTTACGGGATGAGATCATAGAAGCTTCGGCGGTTTCTCCAGTGAGTGCTTCAGAACCAAGGAAGTGTATGCCTGATCACATCGCTGGAGAGGCATACCTGGCAGACTATCTGCTCTACCGCTTGAACCTTGGCTGGCAGTCTTCTTCATTCTTCATTCTTCTCACTATCTAGCCCGAATACCCTACACTCAAAAAATCCTAAACCCAAACCGACTAAGACTAGACAAGATCCTGCCTATTATCTGCACGTGAAACTGCCGGCATGGCCCCAGAGGGTTTCCTACAGCATGGGACCCCAAAACCTGGGACCACCAAACCCTGAAGGCCGAACAGACTGATGCTCTACATGGGTGGTGGTCAAAATTCGGGTCCCTTTTGGGTCCCGAATATAACACGGCACCTTTTTTTTTTTAGGGTACCCAAAAAGGGCCCATAATTTTGACAATTACCCACATAGGAACTAAGGAAACCGCAAAACTCGGATCCTCACGAATATAAGGCGTCCTAACATGCATAATGGCATCCCCTGACGTGTAGAATCCCGCCCAAAAAACTTCCTGAAGAAGCCCTTACACTAAACTTCAAAGCCCCTGTCCTAAACCCTAAACCCTAAACCCTAAACCCTAAAGCCTAAACCCTAAACTCAGGAACAGGGACCACATCATGGATTATGTGCGGGAGCTAGAGCTCCCCGGCCCCACCAACGACATCCGCTACCTCTGCGCGCACATCTCCGCCCATTCGGCTGAGAGTGTTGATAAGAGTTCGTGCTTACGAGGCTTTAAGGTGGGATTTGGAGTTAAGGATTTAGAGTTTGGTGTCATGCAACTGTTGAAAGTTTCGCGTATGTTTGCACTGTCTCGGAAAGCAGACAATCAATTTCCTTGGACTGAGCCAAGATTGAAAGAACTGCCTAGGCACTGCTGGCGCATCGGAACAACAATCAGGCGCACCGAAGCCTCATCATTTAGAAGGCAGTGTATTGAGCTACTGCGATGGTCAGTTCGCTGTTCATCGCTCTGCAGATTTGTTCAAGCAGTACAGGCCGTGCATCCGGTAAGCGCCATAGTCTGCCTAATGCTTGAGTCAGGCTCGCAAGTCTTTCCAGCCCCAACTCCATGTGGTCCTCGCAAGACCCTGCAACTCTACATAGGAGCTTCTAGACTCTAAACCCCAACAAACCTGAGTCCTCCTAACCTGGAGGCCAAATGCCTCTGATCGCGCCCCTGCCAAGTAAGAAGAGATTGCCTCCTCAGTCGAAGACTTCGATCTCTGCAGTACAAACCCCCTTTCGCAACACCTCAAAGCATTGGACCCAGCCTCTCGTGTACCGAACGACCGAAAGCCATTACATTGCTGTGATTGAGTGCCCGGCTTCTTTCAGTACGCAATCGTATTCAGTATGTGTCGCGAAGCAAAGGTTAAAGCAGGAGCTTCTGCCACCGCTGCCCATGAGCCAGCCGCAATCCAGATATAAGAGCCTAGCAACACCAATAACTTTACACTTAAAAACTGGTTACACCGTAAACGATCTCAGCACGCTCCCCGTAAACCCTTCAACCTTGCCAACCTTCAACCCTCTCAGCACTCTGCAATCCCAGTGCCAGGTGTATACGGCGCAGGTCGGTGCAGGTGCCACCTTCTTCTTGGACCTCTGGAGGGCGGGGAAGCTCGGCAAGGCCCTGCTTGGGGCTTGCGGGGCTTCAGGATTCGAATACGAAACCCTGCTTACGCTCGGCACTCCAAGCCCTAAGCCCGCGGCTCAAGCCACGCGCTCCCGTGTTCAGGATTAGGGCAGGTGTTTTAAGGAGTTTAAGGTATTTGTGTAAGCACACTATCCGCAAAACTCACGGTCATCGATTATTAATCGACAACTTGAGCCACGCCCTAAAACAACGCAAAACCGCTGATTTTAGCTATATCCTGTAAGTTGCTGCTTTTCGGGTCCGGTATGCACAATTATCCGCCACTTTGTCAAAGGCGGTGTGTTTTATAAAGTTGCCGGGTTTTCTTGGCAACTTTGGCGTTCCAGGACTACTACTACTACTACTACTACTACTACTACTACTACTACTACTACTACTACTACTACTACTACTACTACTACTACTACTACTACTACTTATACTTATACTTATACTTATACTTATACCTATACTTTTACGTTTACTTTTACTTTTACTTTTGTTTTTACTTTTACTTTTACTTTTACGTTTACGTTTACTTTTACTTTTACTTCTACTTCTACTTTTACTTCTACTTCTACTTCTACTTCTACTTCTACTTCTACTTGTACTTGTACTTGTACTTGTACTTCTACGTATACTTATACTTATACTTATACTTATACTTATACTTTTACTTTTACTTTTATTTTTACTTTTACTTTCACTTTTACTTTTACTTATACCTATACCTATACCTATACCTATACCTATACCTATACCTATACCTATACCTATACCTATACCTATACCTATACCTATACTACTACTACTACTACTACTACTACTACTACTACTACTACTACTACTACTACTACTACTACTACTACTACTACTACTACTACTACTACTACTACTACTTATACTACTACTACTACTACTACTACTACTACTACTACTACTACTACTACTACTACTACTACTACTACTACTACTACTACTACTACTACTACTCCTCTACTACTACTACTACTACTACTACTACTACTACTACTACTACTACTACTACTACTACTACTACTACTACTACTACTACTACTACTAACTACTAACTACTACTACTACTACTACTACTACTACTACTACTACTACTACTACTACTACTACTACTACTACTACTACTACTACTACTACTACTACTACTACTACTACTACTCTCTCTCTCTCTCTCTCTGGCTCGCGACGGAGTCCGCCTGGCGTCCGGCAGGCGTTTGCCCGGCTGTGGCAGCACCACATATTTATGTGGCCCGATAAACAAAGAGCATCGCCTCTAGAGGCCTAGCATGCTCTATAAACTTGTCAATCCGAGCCTAGGCTCCAGCAACTGACAAGACATTAACGATATCCGAGTTCCTGTACATTCAATGGCGTTGTGTTGGATTGCCCTCTAACAAGCGCATACCATGTTCACGGCACGCGGAGTCTCAGGCTACAAGCTTTCGCCATCGACCTCAGAGATAGTAGCATTGATTGGCGCATTTTACAGCAGCTTTGCCAGCTTCGACAAGATGGCATGTTTCTCACTGAACTCGGCACATCTCGGCAATCTGTGCGCTGCCTACCCTAGGAGAGGAAGCCCGGATTGGCCCCCATTAGGCTTAGACAGGTCAGATCTTCCACTGACAAATTGGCACTCATACCGATATGGAAGGCAATCAATATTAATCGATCGCCCGTCCACGGAAGGGTGGCATGCAACCTTCGGGGTGCAAACTGTAGTGCAGTGGAGGTTGGAAGTAGGTGCCCTGCCGGTCCGGACGAATGCAACCTGCTGCTGCCTTCGGAATCTTCTACAAAAAGCTCTCCCCCTTGGAATTCTGTGCACGGGAGACACAGATTGCACGACTCAGCATGGTTGAACTTATCTCGATGTGGTGCTGCCGCAACGTTGCGACTCATGGTGCATGTAGTGAACAAAAGCTCAGCATCCCAGGTTCGGATTATTCCACAGAGCACCCTTGCGCTCCATGGGTAGGCCTTACCTGTGTTGTGCAGTCCCGTCATCGGCCCTCGATTCCAAGCTCCTACGGTGACTCTATGTGGCGGTTGCTGGCCCTCCTGCAGAGACTGAGGCCATCTCATATTGGCATCGCACGGTAACAGCGCAACTAATCTCTGCAGCTGGTGCCAAGGGGCTTGCCCATGCGAGATCATAGACATGGCCAACGCTTCGGCTCTGCAATCAGGCTGCGGCAATCCTTCTAAGCTGACCCCTCTGATGAGGTATATTTGCATCTGCTGAAATTCGTACCTCAAGTCCCTTTCCATAGTGCTCATGGGTTTCGAGCCTGCCATGTATATTCCATGATAAACATCCGGCGGAGTTCGGACACGCTCTGGCATCGTGGACTCCTCATCGGAGTCCAGATGCTCTATAGGCTCAGTGACTGGCGCACCGTCAGAGCCGCTCATTGCAAGCGTGACCCGGTCCGTGAGCAGAATGGAGCTAGAAATTGAACCCCGCGGCCTAGAAGACAGGAACTAAACCGAAGGGAGAGGAGGGGAGGCCTAAGAGCAACCAAAGAGCTAAAGACAAGCGCATGACTACTACTACTACTACTACTACTACTACTACTACTACTACTACTACTACTACTGCTACTGCATGGACATGCAAGCATGTGTGGAAGTTCTAAGCGTACTATAAAGTACGCTCATGGCGGCCCGGGGCCGCGCAGACTACAACGAAAGACTCGCCGACTGGTGTGCCCAGCTGGCCCGCAGCCGCGAGGAGTTCAATTTCTTGTTCGCTGCCACCCAGGAACAATGGGACCTGTCGTGGCAGGTTCGCCTGTCGTCCGGTGTGGTCACACCTGAAGGCCAGCAGCAGGACATCTCGGACCCGATCGAATTTTGGTGGTTTTCTTGGCAACTTTGGCGTTCCAGGACTACTACTACTACTGCTGCTACTACTACTACTACTACTACTACTACTACTACTACTGCTACTGCATGGACATGCAAGCATGTGTGGAAGTTCTAATCTAAGCGTACTATAAAGTACGCTCATGGCGGCCCGGGGCCGCGCAGACTACAACGAAAGACTCGCCGACTGGTGTGCCCAGCTGGCCCGCAGCCGCGAGGAGTTCAATTTCTTGTCAGCTGCCACCCAGGAACAATGGGACCTGTCGTGGCAGGTTCGCCTGTCGTCCGGTGTTGGCGAAGCCACTGGAAGTCTCCACGGGACCACGAGGCAGAGGTGGATGCAGTGTACTGCCAACAAAGTACAGAGGGGCAAGGCAAAACACCTGATGAAATGTCAACACTGCCAATGGATGCGGTGAGCGAGAGGCTGCCGGAGCCGGACGAAGAGGGAGGCCATGACAACGAAGCAGAAGAAGAACTAGTGACGCCCCGCCGTGTGAGCGGGGAAGCCATGCTTAGACGTCGCATCTTGAACCCAAAGTGCCGACGTCGCCAAGGGCAGCGAAACCGCTCGCCCCAGACAGACTCTGGTGACTAATGGTGCACGCACTTGCTTCCAGGGCCTAGGGCGCCTCGGACTCCATGTCAAATGCTTCTAAAATTGTATGTGCAAAGAGAGGCCTCGTCTGAAGCAGGTGGACAGTGGACAGTGGCATGCACTGTCCACTGCTCGAGGTTTGTGCACCCTTTGACAGAGCTGACGACGGAAAAACTAACTGTTTAGAGTCTTAGAGTTTAATCGGTCAGGGAGCGTCTGCCTTTTGGGTCGCAGCTCCAAAGGGATGCATGACAGAGTATATTGCGCGGTATTGCGGGCTCAGGGTGGAGGGGCGGAGGCGGAGGGGCGGAGGGGTGGAAGGAGTGGAGGGAGAGGTGGAGGGAGGGGTGGAGGGAGGGGTGGGTGGGGTGGTGGGAGGGAGGGGTGGAGGGGTGGAGTGGAGGGGTGGAGGGGTGGAGTGGGAGGGGTGGAGGGGAGGGGTGGAGGGGTGGAGGAGGGGTGGAGGAGGGGTGGAGGAGGGGTGGAGGGGGTGGCGGTTGCTTTCGGTACGAATTGCTGCGCGGTTCGGCGGCGCGGTAACGGTTCGGCGCGGTACTGCGAAATTGTATTGTTGAAACGGCCATGGTGATGAGCAGCCTCCTGGAAATACGTGGTAACTAAAGCCGGTCCGCGAAGAGCTGAGCGCTTTGACTGCCTGCCCACAAGTGTGCTATACTGGTCATTAGCCAAGCGAGGCTACTTGTCAATCCTAGAGTGGGGGCAGAGCGGGTCACTAATTCACTTGCTGTGAAAACTTCCGGCTATGAGTGGTGTAACATGCACGGGACGTTGAGTCGACTCCGTCCGATAAGCCCATTGAGCCAGGCCACTGATCAGAGCGGGTAGTTCATCCATGGTATGTCCATCCAGCCTTTATTTTAGTAGTGTAGAATGTCTGATGTTGGCTGAGACCGCTTTTGATGCTTTGGCCAAGCTGTACACTTGGGCAGTGCCACGGGATTGTATGAGGTGTGTGTTGTTTG